GATCTCCGCCCCTCCCGCCGCAGATCCCTCTCTCTCTCTCTCTCTCTCTCTCTCTCTCTCTCTCTCTCTCTCTCTCTCTCTCTCTCTCTCTCTCGCCGTGCGTAGACTACACCGTAGGTAGCACCGAAGGTAGATCGCAAGACCGCGCACGCACACACACACATACACACGCATGCATGCAGAGGTCGCAGAACGTCGCAGCAAGTCGACCGACACAGCAATTTCCACCCCCCCCCCGTACGTGGACCGCGCCTAGATACTTCCACACTGTGCGTGTACTCTCGCGGACACTCCCGACACACGCTTTCAGGCCGCGCGGAAAATTGCGTCGCACATAAAAAAAAAAGTGTCCCCGTACGTACACCGCGCCTACATGCATCCACACTGTGCGCATACTCTCGCAGGTTCGGACCGCGTGGAAAGTCGTCGAAAAAAAAGTGCCCCAAGTGCCCCGTGGGCCCACCCCCTTACCTCGGCACTGTTCCCAACACTGGGCAGCGGGTCTCCGTGGGAGCGTTACGCGAGACCCGCTGCACGCTTTAAGAGTATTAAGGAAGAAAAAAATAAAAATAAAAGAAATCGTCCTCAGCCGCATTCTTCTTTTTCTTTTTTCTTTTTTTTTTATAAAGGATTTCATATATTGCAAAATTCAATTGATGAGGCCGGGGACCTCACAATTCAACCCGGAGTTATCCCGGCAGCATCAGCCGGTTTAGCTCAGTCTAAACTAGCAAAATAAAATGAATTCGCAAATGAAATACCGCCAGACACACTATCCACTACCAACCAAATCTACTACTATAGACCCTAGGAGCAGAGTGGTTCCCTCATCTTTCACTGTCTGAAACACTGAAGAGCCTGAGCTGCCAAGACGGGTTTCTCACCACGCACCCAATGGATACATCTCAAGTTTACTTTTCACCGGTTCTCTCTTTCCTCCCGGCCAGTAGCATTCCCACTGCCCCTCTTCACACTCCCACTGTTCAAAGTGGCACCTCTACTAGTAGTTCCGTGGACTTCACTCTGAGCTACTCTAAATTACTTCCCTCTTCTGTTGGCGGATTTGGGCAAGAGCCTTCACAGAATAACTACAGACCTATCAACTACATACCTCACCCACAATGGTTCCCTCAATTCTATCCGGGCAAGCTTCTCATCCTTACTGCCCAAAACACTGCAAAGAGCCTGAGCTGCCGAGACGGGTTTCCCACCACGCACCCAATGGATACACCTCAAGTTTGCTCTTCACCGGTTCTCTCTTTCCTCCCTACCAGTAGCGTTCCCACTGCCCCTTGACCCACTCTCACTGCTCAAGGTGGCACCGCTACTAGTGGCTCCGTGACGTTTGCCCTGAACTACGCCAAGTTACTTCCCTCTTCTATCTGTAAACTACTACCGCGACCTTCTCAAAGCAACTGCAGTAGATGCTTGATGCCAGGGGATCTAACTGCCCATTAGCAATGGATACGGCCAGATACTAAGCATAAGAATGGGAAAACCAATGAATGCATCTGTCTACCAGCACCAAAAGCAGAGCCTCAAAGCTCCAATCTTCCACGAGATCCCACGCTGAGATTGGTGCTCTTGTTCTGAAATCTTCCAGCACGCTCCCACCATTGCTGCAGGCTCTCTCACTGTCCGGTCCGCCACTCCCAACGGTTGTCTGTGCCTGAGACTCGGGCCTGCTTTCGTAGGGACGAGTAGTCAACATGATGTTACAACAACCGATATTAGGGATTGAAGAGAAAACATTCGGTAATTTCCAAGGATAGAAAATTAGTGAAGTGAGAGGTGGGACAGAGATGGAAGTCGCCTGGCGCCCCTATCCTTGAGTGCAAAGGCACTCCCTCTCCACTCAAGGAGAGGTTCGGATATGTTGAGACACCAGTCTTTCCATATCGCGCGGCCACAGGACTTCGACAAGCGTGCTTTCCCGCCAAGCATCTGCCGGCCGTGGAGCGCTAAGACTCCGCGCTGCGCTGCCTTAGGGCTAACGCGGGTATCCTTAATTAGCAGAAACAAACCCAATCTTCTGTCTAAAGTGACAGGGTGGTCGTCTGCCCATTCTTACTATTATTATAGTCTTATGGGGATCTCTCTCTCTCTCTCTCTCTCTCTCTCTCTCGCCCCCCGGAAGCAGCTATATCCGTGTTCACAAGAGAACATGCGAGGGGCTGCAAAGGCGGATTTCCCTCTTTTTTTTTTCCCTCCGTTTCTTCCTCCAGGAAATAGGCTCTAACGTCATTGTAGTTATATTTTATTTTCACAATCCGATTCGAACTCCTGATCTTTTCATCAACAATCATATGTGTGTACAATTCAGCCACATCGGCTAGGCAGGCGGCGGATATTTCCCTCCTTTCAGTTGGTACACCCATGAACTGCTGCAATGCACACCCATGTTCGAATCCGACGCACTCAAACGAATAGAATAGCGTGTCACCTGATTTACCTGGGCCGGTCAGTTCAATTCTTTTTTTTTTTTTTTTTTTTTTTTTCATAGGGCACTGCTGGCCGTCATCATCTTCATCATCATCATCAATTCTTTGCTCGACATCATCATCATCAACACCAACACGTAATCCCCACCTTCCAGGTTTTTTTTTTTTTTTTTTTTTTTTTACATAAGCTCATTTCTGGTAATTTCGCGCTTACCCAAGCAAAAAACAATATTTCTGATTTTCCGGGGCCTCGATCCACTACACAACACTGAACATGCACTGGGCGCTTCCTGGACCCGATACATTCAAAATGTTCGACTCGTCCGAATGCATATGGTCCAGAAAGCCTCCGAGTGCATGTAGAGTGTCTTGTACTGGAGCCAGGTCCCCCTTTGTCTGGTGTCCGGATTCGTCTGCTGGTTCTCGCAGATTCCCGCACATTCCTTTGTCGAGTAGCGATAGCGCCAATTTTGTCCCCCAGCGCGCCAATTTTGTCCTGAGCTGATGTCCTCGCAATCCGAAGTGTGCGGGGGAACGAAGCAAGCCAGATTTTGTCGGTTCAATTTCCGTCCGCCACGTGTCGCCCAGGGCGTGACCGTTGTGCTAGCCCCGCCATGGAAGATGCCGTCCTCCACGTGTCGACCAGCGCGTGACCGTTGTGCCTGCCGCGCCATGGAAGATGTCGACCTCAGCCGTCGCAGTCATTGGATTCTGAAGAACACTTCTACTGACACACAGTCCGGTACTGCGTCAAACATCGTTGCATGCCGCCACGTCGTTGCATGCAGCCACGTCGTTGCATGCCGCCACGTCGTTGCATGCAGCCACGTCGTTGCAATCTTAGTAGAGTGAGTACGACCTGCGTGGAACATTGCCGCCACGTCGTTCCAATCGCCAACAACATCATCGTCGCACGTCGCAGTCCAGGGCGCTAAGAAGCCATCCTCCCTCTCCCTTTTTTCTTATCTTGTCGTGCTCGTGAGGATTCGAACCATCGGCCAGTTGATGACGGTCATTGATCATTTACTCGCGTTTGCGTGCACCAATCCGCAGCCACGGTCCAGATTCGTGATTCTTGGCCAGGGCTTGTGGGGACTGTGAGGGAGCGTGCTCCTTCCCACTGCCACGTGGTGGCATGCGCTTTCTTCTGGGCAATTTTGGTCCACGTGATGCCACGTGGACAATGTGGGGCGGCTTTTTTTCCCTTCTTCTTGTCAGAAAAACAGGGAGAGAAGACGGAATGCAGAACTTGGTCCCAAATGCAGCCAGGTTCATCTATTTTCGACCCCGCGTGATCGCGGGTATTTTCGGGAGCGACGGTGGCGCGCGGACAAGTGAGTGAGAAGAGGGTGCGAGAGGGAAATGAGGGAGAGAGTATACGAGAGTAGAGAGAGCGAGCTTGAGAGAGAGAGAGAGAGAGAGAGAGAGAGAGAGAGAGAGAGAGAGAGAGAGACGCGTCAGAATGCGTATCCACGCGGGAGAATGTACGTGAGCGCGCGCGAGAGAGAGAGAGAGATAGCGAGTGTGTGACGGAGAGGAAGCGAGGGATAGAGGCATGAGTGAAGATGGTAGTCGTGGTACTCGTGATGGGAGCTTCTTCTCATCGAAAGTTATAATAACAATGGACAACGCAACTTCAACTTCAAGTCTTTGACAGGTACTTATTTCCTAAATTCACCTCTCCTCGGGACGAACTGCTGTCTCAACGGCAAGTGCTTCATCTCTGACATTGTCTGCCGGTCCTATTTCGACGCGCCCTCCCCTCATGGTATTACCGCGCCTAACTGGACACTGGACACTATCCCATCTGTTCCTTTTTTCGGGAAAAAACAGTCTTCGTCTTTTTGAAACAAGGGCTGTCTGACGTCTTTACGACAGTCGCCGTCGCCGTCGCCGTCGCGGGGGTTGGCTTGGCAATCAGCTGGTTGATCGTCCGTCTACAGTGGTGGGCGATGTCTCTGTTGTGTACTTGAATTGAGCCTCCTTCTCCTTCAGCTGTGACGTAAACGCCGTTCGTTCTGAGAAATTCCTCTTAAAAATCGGAAGAGGATCTCATTCCAGATCCTTACTTATTTCATCGAGAGCACACTCATGGGGTAATTAACCGTGCTTGCATCTCCGGACATTGCCGACAGTGAGAGAGGAGGAGGGAAGTAATCGTCGAGTTCATTGCTTGTTTATTCCCAAGTTGTTGCATTGTCGAAGGGGGTTTGCATCTCCGGACATTGCCGGCATTTTCAAGGGGGTTGTACACGTGTTAATTAACGGGTGTCAAGCTTCAGATCTAATGAGAATAAGAGTCGTCATTCTTGTGACTACTCGACACACTCGTCATTCTTGTGAATACTCGACACACAGTGTCACGTGGAAATCAAAGAGGGGTTGTTCCTGATTTCAGGACATTGGGGGTAAATATAAGTGTGGGTGTTTGAGGCGGTTGTTTTTGACCCGTAGAAAACGGACTTGGTAGATTATGAACGGTCTCTTTTGACGGAATGCGGCGCCGGCGAATGGCTCCTTTGTGTGGAGCGGTGACCACTCTTCTATACGTGAGTCTCGCGGGATCAATGTAAGTTTTCACAATGGGATAACGGGCAAAAGAGATTGCCTCTCTCGTGAAGAGGGGAACCCACCGCCTCGGGTACTGTCGGGCAGCGATTTGTCACTGTTAAGTACTGGCTTCGGCGTTCTGGGTTTCTTTCGTTGACACACCCAGCAGGATCTCCCTACCCTCTGTTTCAAAATCAAGATGTCCATGAGAAGCAGGGGAGGTTAGATCAGAGGTTGGTGAGAGAGAGAGAGAGAGAGAGAGAGAGAGAGAGAGAGAGAGAGAGAGAGAGAGAGAGAGAGAGAGAGAGAGAGAGTACAACTTTGGGTTGAGGAACAGTGAGAAACACAACACGGCTTGCAGGGTCAAGCGAGAGTTTGGTGTCTGAAGGACAGACAGACAAGTGAAGGCCATTGGCCGTGTTGTCCCGAGGACTTGGTGAAATGTTATTCCCTTTGTTCCCCTACCGTGGTTTCAAACGTTAGGGAGGACGTTGCTGTGTCTTGTGGTGGGCTGGGTGGGTGACGATCTCTGAGTGCTGCGGCTGAATCATGCCGACGTCTGATTGAATGTTGCCTGAAGGAGACGGCTGGGCAGAACGGGTGGCTGCTGGTCGACAATCGGAGGGTTATCCCTGTTAGCGAATCGTGACGTGTGATTCTGTGAGGCGAGGTCGGTCGCTTGACTCTGTAGTTCGGCTATGCTTGGGGCGAGTATTCTCTGCGCCCAAACCACAGTCACCACATACAGAAAAGATAAAATTATGGCGGCGTATGCTTCTGTGTTCTAGCGGAAGATGCATTCGCATTCTCGTTTTGCAAATTTGGTGAGTGGTGGAGGTGCGAGGCCCTGATTCTCTCTCTGTGTTTCCTCTTCTACACTCTTTGATTGACCCGCGCGTCCGAAAAAGCGGGAGGCTTTCCTGCCGGGGGGGGAAGAGGATGTACCGGTGAGGAGGGAGGGGCATTGGGGTCCATGGAAGGGGCGGTGGCCTCTGTTTCTAGGTGCGTGGGCGCGGCCGGCGGCGATCGCTTCGCGGCCGCCTGCGGAGTCGGCGCGCAGTACGGCGCATCGTCCGACCGTTTCAGCTGCCGCCTAGGCGGCGACAGACCGGTCGGTATCCCGACATGTGCGATCGGCGGGGCGGCGGTGATTGCGAATCCTTCGACGGAGAGGCGTGCGCGCGGTGACACGTGGCCATCGTCGCGTTGCTGTTGCGTAAGCCATTCCCGGGAGACCAGTTATCGCGGCGGCGGCGACGGCGACCTCGTCTCTCCTCCCGTGCGCGCCGCCCCTGTCCTCTCCTCCTCCACGTGTCACGCTGCTGGCGATCAACGTTTTGCGAGAGGGGGCAGAGCAACAGCAGCTGCCGTCGTTCGAATCTCAGCTGCTGTTGGTTGGACGTCCGGTGCAGCCGTCCGAACGTCCGGACCGGTCGTACGAACCGCACGCGAGGCGGCGGTCCGGTCTTCAAATGCGGTCGTCCGAACCTCACCTACGCCTGCCCGCTCCTCCTCCGATGTGGTCAGCGGAACTTCGAGACAGGTCGTTGACTCGAGAAGCCGCGGTCCGCGGCCGCGGCCGGGGGAAGGTGAGCGCTTGTTGCGAACGAGTGCCAACAGTAAGCCACGTGGATCGTCCAAGGAGGGTTTAGTACTAGAGAAAGGGGGCGGGGATTGTCGGCGCCGCTCACTCCGCCGTCCCCCTCGCTTCCGCCGCCTTCGCGGCATCTGCTCGCTCTCCCTTTCTTATCTCGTCGGTGGTTGCCCGGCCTGCTGCGCCTTGTGCAGCAGGCCGGCGGCGGTTTCCCCACGTGTGCCACTTGGAGCGGACGGCTTCTTCTTCTTTACGACACTGACGTCCACGTGGCTGGGCAGGAAGCTGAGGAGGAACAAAAAAAGGATAACCATAGAACCAATTTGGCGAGAAAATGGCTCGTTGGTCGGGGAAGGAGGAGGAGGAGGAGGAGGAGGAGGGAGGCAGACACCATTTCATAGCGATGCACAAAGACAATTTCATAGCGATGCACAAAGGGAGGGCAAGGGGGAGGTTCTCCTCTCTCCCCTCCTCCCTCCCCTCGACCGTCGCTCTCACGTCCTTGCGTCTCGGGATGGCCCCCGGCCAAAACCGGCGGCGGCTTGGACCGACTTACCGCACCTCCTCCTATCGTCATGCCCGAGGTCCGATCGATCACCACCACCGCTATCACGATCCTCCTCGGCATTATCCTGGAGGAGCAGGACGGCAAGTTGGCGGGGGCGATGGAGAGGACAACGACGCAATTCAATGATTGCCAAGGCGGGGGTAGAGATCGCTAGCGCTATAGATGTTATCAACAACCTAGGATTGGACACTTTGACTTTCCTCGTCACCGCGGTGCTGGTGATTCCCACCTTCAAGCGCATGAACGTTAGTCCGGTCCTCGGCTTCCTGTTGTCCGGACTTGTTCTGAACCATTTTGGCTGGTTCCGCAACGTGGCGGACATCGAGGCGCTTTCCGAATTAGGAATACTTTTCCTTCTCTTCGAGATGGGACTAGAGTTGTCCCTTGGACGATTGAAGGCACTTGCCAAGTTCGCCTTTGGAATGGGTCTACTCCAGGTGGTCACCACCACTCTGGCTTTCACGTTTTTTGAGCTGCCGCCTTATAGCGCGCTGGGAACGAAGCTTCTCGAATGGGCTTTCCATTCGAGGCACGACTTGGTGAACATCCGGACGATCGACGAAGCGGTGGTGATTGGCGCCGCGCTCTCGCTCTCCTCCTCTGCTTTCGTCTTGCAGCTGCTTGCGGAGAAGGGAGAACTGCCTACCCGATTCGGATCGGCAACGCTTGGTATCTTGCTGCTACAAGACATCGCCGTCGTCCCTTTGCTTGTCATCTTGCCCATCTTGGAGAGCGGCCAGTTCTCCGGCGGCTCGTCTGAGCTCTTCCTCACTCTCGGCGTCGCCAGCCTCAAGGGTTTGCTAGGACTCGGTCTGTTGCTGCTCGGGGGGAAGCTGATACTTCGTCGCGTTTTTGAACTGGTCGCATCCTCCCGCAGTCCTGAGGCCTTCGTTGCCCTCTGCCTTCTTACGGTCACCGGCACGTCGCTGATCACGCAGAGATTAGGGTTTAGCGACACTCTGGGAGCGTTCTTGGCGGGGGCTTTGCTGGCGGGAACCAACTTTCGCACGCAGGTGGAGGCGGACATTCGTCCGTTCCGCGGCTTGCTGCTAGGTCTCTTCTTCGTCACAACGGGAACGTCCATCGACATTGAACTGCTGGTCAGAGAATGGCCGAATGTCCTGGCTCTTCTCGCTGGTCTGATTGCCATGAAGACGGCGATCATCACCGCTCTGGGACCGCGATTCGGACTCACGTGGGGGGAAAGCGTGCGGACGGCCTTTCTTCTGTCCCAGGGAGGGGAGTTCGCCTTCGTCGTGTTCTCTCTTGCTAATCAGCTAGGCGTGTTGCCGCTGGAACTCAATAGGTTGTTGATCATAGTGGTTGTGCTCTCGATGGCACTAACTCCCTTGCTGAACGAGGCGGGGAGAATAGCAGCAGCGTACGTGGAGAAGCGAATGGTCGACAAAGAGGGAGAAGGGGAAGAGGAAAGGCGGACAAGTTTAGGTGGAGGAGGAGTAGATTTAGCGGACGACTACGAGATGGGAGAGCCAGTGGTAATCATTGGGTTCGGCCAGCTGGGACAGATCTTGGCGAATTTCTTGTCGACACCATTGGCCACGTGGAGCAACAGCGAGAACGTGGCATGGCCGTACGTGGCATTCGATCTGGAGCCCAAGAGAGTGAAAACAGCCAGAAGTCTCGGATTCCCGGTGTTCTACGGGGACGGATCGCGGCCTGAAGTGTTGTTGACGGCGGGGATCAACACACCGAGAGCGTTGATGGTGATGTACAAGGGGAGAGAGAGGGCAGTAGAGGCTGTGGAGCGACTGCGCTTGGCCTACCCGACAGTACCAATCTATGCCCGAGCTCTGGACCTGGACCACCTCACGGAACTGAAGTTGGCCGGTGCCACGGACGTGGTACCAGAGAACACAGAGACCAGTCTGCGCCTCGGCTCTGCCCTCCTCGAGAAACTAGGGGTCATGTCCGATGACGTCACCTTCTTGAGAAGGGTGTTGCGCGACTCCTTGGAGAAGCGCGCCAAAGAGTTTACTCGAACGGATAGTCCACGTGGCGAGAGCCAGGACTGGAAGGATGTCATCTTAATCCGACCTTCTTCTTCTTCTTCTTCTTCTTCTTCTTCTACTACTACTTCGGGGGTAGCCAACGAGGAGGAGGAGACTGCCAACGAGGAGGAGGCGGCTGCCAACGAGGAGGAGGCTGCCAACGAGGCGGCTCAACGGGTTGCTGACGTCGGGTCTGCCGTTACGTTTGAAACCGTTACGTTGGCTCCCGACGATGCTCGAGCCGAACCTGATGATGGTGGCAATGACCAGGCGATGGTCAAGGGCACGGCTGCTACTACTGCTGATGGCGGAGATACCAGGGGAGGGAGTATGATCTCCCAGACAGCCGTGGAGAGAAGAACCGAAGGTGAGGTTGATCCTTCGGGTGATGCCTCCACTGAGGAAGGAGCAATGGGGCCTGGAGTAGGTGGTTCTCCACCTGCTCCCTTTCCCCAGGTCATCTCTTCTCCGATGAGCATCGACTACTCTTCGCCCGAACGGGATGCAGTAGCAGGGATCTGGATGTCAGGCGAAGGAGGAGGTAAGGGGAGGCAGCAGGAGGACGACTCACCTGTAGTGGGGAACTTGATATCGGGCGAAGCAGGTGAAGAAGCCAACGACGAAGGGGGTACAAAGGAGGAGGAGGAGCAGGAGGAGGAGGAGTCGCCTGTCCTCCCCACGGAATTTGATCCCGATCTGCCAATGAGGCATGATAGGGATCCGTTGCCAGTATTCCCATCTGCTTCCGGTGAACTCCCCGCTGCTGACGACCCCATCCGTGGAAACACACCCCAAGAAGACATTACATACGCGCCCGATGACCCGGCCGCCAACACTTCCCGAACACCTACTCCTATGCTGTCGTCATCAGACCCGGAGATGTCCTCCCTTGCTGGTGGGGCGAGGCAACCTCCGGACGTCCGCGATTCTTCAACTGTGCCTTCGTCCTCCACGTCGGGATCTGAATTGGGAGAAGGAGGGTACTATGAGAGAAGCATGATAGATGGCCGGACCGCCAAGAAAGAGGAGGAGAGCGCTGCCATTCTGACCGGTAGAGAACCTGATGGTGATGACGATGGGGATGGCGATGGTCCTAATGGTTGCTTGACCGAGGATGCTTTATCTTCGTCCTCTAGTCATGTGAGAGATGGTGGTGATGGAGAGCGAGGAGGTGCTCTGGGCGCGCACGCGATTGACGAAGGGGCTTTAGAGGAGTTGGTGTCAAACCGAGATGCCGTGGAGTTGAACCCACCAGGGCTCGACAATGATGTAGGCGCAGTCCTATTGTCTTCCGTCCCGGAAGGTGAAGATGGCGGTGATGATCGGACATTCGGCAGCAGTGTGGTGATCGTAGAGACGCTCGACCTACCAGATAGTATGCGTCTGAAAGGCGTGACGCTGTGCCCGCTGGTAGCCGAGGAGGACGATGTTACGGATGTGGAGGCGCTTGATGAATCTATTCCCTACATAAAGGTTTTTGACGTCTCAGATCCCGACATAGTGTCTGGAGAAGGGGACGGAATCTGACCACCACGTGTTAGGCCCTGGGGTATGTCGGTTGGACAAGAGACGTCGTGGCAGTGGGTTAGCGCGTCTGTAGAGCGTTGGGCTCCGTCAGATCGGAGTCGACACTGCACTCGCGTAGGGGCTCAGTACCGGGTAGCTTGCCTCGGGCGGTAAGTCCAGGAGATGGAGGAGGGTTTATGGGGATGTTCGTTCGGTTTGATGAGGCGGACAAAGGGTCCACCGAGAGGTGTAGAAGAGGCGGACAAAGGGTTCACAGAGAGGGTTTTCGGACGTCACGACGGACCCGCGAGGACAACCATGGCCCAGTCGAGCTGGAAAATCCCCAGAATACCTAGCCGCATCGTCAGAGTACACCCCGACCTCTGAATCGTGCAAATCGTGCGTTGGGCTGTCCACACCGGGCTACCGTAGTCACGACCGTTCCAGTAGACAAAGGATTGGGGTCTACTAGGGCAGGAGGTTACATAGGCCGTTTGTTCAAGGGACCTGAGCAGGTGAGATATGACGGCATACTCAAGAACTTGGACTTCCTCAATGAGGGCATAAGTCAAACTTGGCACTTCCTCTCGCCCTTTGGGACCAAACTAAGCCTGCAGCCCTCCATACCCCTGGCATTGTGATGGGTTTGGAAGTCGAGTTTGGGTCCAGAGAGGAGGCAGTGATGGTTTAATTGAACCCCCGCTGCTTCGCGGCCCTAGTGCAGATGGCCGCAGTGCACACCAGGCCAGGAGGTCTGTTTTTTTTTTGTTTTTTTTTTAATAGAAAGACGGCAGTCTTGAGATATATCCACAGGTGACCTGCCCCAGGTAATTCGAGATTATTATTATGGAAGTTATTGTAGATTATATGACATGATCATGACTAATTGAACTTCCTTATTGAGCTTATGGTGTGACAGGTATGTTGAGAATTTGCCTCTGGAAGTATGTGGTGAAATTGAGGGTCTTAACCCTCAGAGGCAGTGTAATGGAGCCATGAATGTCAGCTGTGATGATACTGACTGAGAACTCAACCTGAGAGTTCTTTTTATTGGATGTGTATTGGGTATGTCCTGACCGGCCGCAGCAGGACTTGAGCAGCCACTTCCACTTGGCCCGATGCTCCCGCATATATACGGATTACAGGGCGGCACAACTCGCCCCAGCGAGTTACCCGTGTTCACTGGCCGCGGCCACCAATCCTCCTCAGTCCACTGAAAGTGATGCCAACGGGAATAGAACACAGCACCTACGCGGTGCTGCTCAGGCATGAAACCTACTGAGCGGCAGGCCAGTTCAGCCGATTGGGTCAAATAAGCTGGCAGTCCACAAAGCCTGCAGCCGTCCCATACCCATGTTATTCTGATGGTTCCGAAGCTCGGGGTGGGCGAACGAGGAACCAGTCGTGGTTTGAAACACCACTGCTCTACAGGCCTAGCGCAGATGGTGCCAGTGCGCAAGGGGGTGCCAGGTCAGTTCAGCCTATCGGGTTCGAATAAGCTGGCAGCCCCCAGTAGGCCCAACCTCTGGTGTCCAACATCCAACATCCAATGGAAATTGAGGATGGACATTTTGCCTTGGATGAAGCTAGAGAGGTCCTTCCATGAGCCAGATTTTCCCTGAGCCAGCTCAGCTTGACTTGAAGCTAGCTCAGCTCAGGTACACAGCAGGTGCTAAGTGTCAGCACTCATTTTGGCTGTAAGAGATGCAGGATTTATGACTCATCTGAGGTGGCCATGCTCACACCATGACTTTCCTGGATGTGACTGAGCACACCTGCTGCCAGATTCAGTCCAAAAGGTCTGATTGTGAGTTTGATCTGCATTGCACCGGGTTGGGATTGCACAAACAGGAGCCTGAAGGCGACAACGACTTGGCCGAGTCTGAAGGGAGGGGCATGGCCACACTCAAAACATCAGTATAGAGTCATCAATATGTCTAATCTACGGTTGGAGACAAAGGAAGGGGGAGAGGAGGGAGAGCACAGGGGCTTAGTATGAGTATGCCACAGTTGCATGGGGCTTGCGGATTGGGCAAAGGGGAGAAAAGAAGGAAAACCAGCAAGGAAACAATGGCTCGGCTGAGCCTGACAGCAGGGGTGTGTGCCCCCACACTCAACACATTGGTCTCCACCTGTCCTTCTGTGCAATCTATGGTTGGAAAGATGGCATCCGGTTGACAAGAACAACACCTGACATGGGGGGCGCATGTCGGTCTATTTATTCATTCATTTATTGTCATGATGTATTCATTTGTATTTATTAGGAAAATGTAGTATAAGGGCTCCAGGCAATAGGCCTTAGGCATCTTCTTGGAAGCACCCATCAGAACAAGTTCCTAGAGATGGGAATGAGTAGGACATCTGTGGGGGGTTTCTGGGACAAAAGGTGTACACTTGCAGGTTAGATGGCACAGAAGTGGACACTTGGGACTCAGTCCATGCACATTTCTGAAGTAGGGGTAGGACATACCTGTGGCAAGTGGGTGACAATTCTCAAGCAGAATGGGGACGGGAAGAGGGGGCGCTTGTGGGGTTACACCAGAAGGGGAAACTTTTGTCGGGGGCAGAAAGGGGACTCCTGAAGGGAGGCCAGCAGACGCGGGGATCTTGTGACGAGGCCAGCAGAATGAGATGACCTGAGGTCAGGGGGCATGGGATGGAGGAATTGTTTGGAAGATTGAAGGAGGGATGACAGGGGGGGGTCCTTGTTGAACGTACAATGGCCCAAGATGGCCCACTGATTGTGGGACACAAGGTGTACGCTTTTGAGATAGAGGGAAACAGAATCCAGATAGAAGCAGACATTAGTACCATATAGCATGGGGCATAAGGGATCAGGAGGTTTCTGGATAGGTGTGGGTTGACTGGAAGCCCCACATTTTTGTGAATACTTATTGTAGAGGATGTCAAATTTTGACTTCTTCTTAGCCATTGCCTTGCTATTTTTCCACTGAATTTCATGTTTCTTTTCCATTTTCGTCCTCTGCTCGCATTTTGTCCTTAGGCTAGTTAGATGTGAACTTGATATACGAAATTCTGCTTCGCGTGCCAAATTGGGTTCACTACCTGAATTTTTGCTTTACATGCCAGTTTGTAAAGCTGCAGCTAATGCATAGTGAAGTCCACAGCTATGCCCACTTACGAAGCACCACTGGCTCAAAAGCCTCCGGTGGGAGACACCAGTAGTGCAAGGGGTCTTGAGCGCTAGCGTGCAGAGCGGTACCGGACAACGAGGCTCGCCGGTGACCGGCTCCATCTCCTCAGTGGCACCAAGGCGTACCGGCACGTTGACGCCGCCATAGCCTTCGCCGGTCTTGACGAAGGTGGGCGGAGGGAGGAAACGTCATCCCGACGTCGACGAAGCTGGGTATCCTGGCGCGGAGAAGAGAGGAGGGCAGAGACAGGAAGGAGGTAATTGCAGATGAAGGCAACAAGTGAGAAGCCACTCCTGTACCGGGTGGGCACACGTGGCGGTTCCAGCAACGATGGCTTCAGCAGTGATGGCTTCATCACAGGATCTCGAACGACAGGCGAACATGTGGCTTTCCGACACTGTAAGACACGCTACGGCGCATGCAGAAGATGGTCAGAGTCTTGTCCTCCGCTGTCCAGACCTGGCTAGCGGTCGATTGGGGGGAGTCAGCACCGGCTGCATGGCTGGAGGACAAGACTCAACAACTGTTAACTATCCTCTGGCAGATTGAGGAGGATCCAGCGTTGGAGGTGTTCGTTGATTGGCACCGGGCGAATGGTCCGATAACCAGTTGCAACATGATGTTTGATGAAGGTGCAGAGCACTGCGAAGTGATGAAGGCGAGGCTGGCGACTGAAGCTTGACTTGAGGTCGATGTCTTCACTCCTCCTGGGCAGTCGGCATCACGCCCGTCACCGACATGGACGTCTTCTTCAGTGTCGACTTTATCGTCAACAGCCTCAGCGGCCTCAACACCAACAACAATGCTGCAGCCGTCACCCTCATCGACGATGACAGCGATGACATCACCAAACACATCATCAATAACAACCACAACAATTATAGCTTCAACTACGGCAAAACCACCAACGACGTCATCTTCATCATCATCATCAACATCAACAGCGATTTTATCATCAATTGGTTCACCACAAACAACGATGCTGCCTTTACCGCTCTCATTTACGTCAAAGGTGGCGACATCAGTGAGCCCGACAACAACATCAACAACTACAACGAGGTCATTTCCAACGCTGCTTCCATCGACAACGACAGCTGGAGGGTTTGTGCGGTTCGCTGCCCCTTCCCTGCCTTTCGTCTGTTCATCCGCTAGATGTCTGGGGGTCTAGCGAATTGAACCCTTCTGTAGGAAGGGCATTCTCCTGCCCTTCTGCTTACGGATCGCTTTCCTGTCTGCACACCACTGACGCTGATCATTGCTTTTCCGTGACACTCCGATTGCTGCAGAAGCATGAGTCGGAGTTGAGTGCCCAGCAGTGGGAGCGAGAAGGGATGGGGTAGCCAGGGAGGGGTGAGCGATCGAGAGTGTTGAGGTGGCAGCACTTTGTGACCAAGATTACAAGTGCCTTTGCTCTCCCCCATCCACACTCTCTTTCCGACGATATTTTTCACCACGGGGGGAAGGATGGATGGGGTCCTCCCTGTCCTCGATCTGATTAAACTTGATCAGTTTGATCGTTTAGATATGATGTAGTTTTTACTTGTTCCGATTTGACTTGATCTGAATTGAGTGGATTGGAATTGAATTGATTTAGTTTTCTTTGAATGGATACTATGTGATTTCACTTGATTGGTTTTCATTTGAATGGAATTGGATCGATTTCATTTGGACTTTATTTTCATCTGCTCTGATTTGAGTCCGGTTTATCTGAGCTGATTCAAAATGATCCAGTTTCCATAGGTTGGCTCTTGTCATGTTTAACCCTACTTGCAGGGGTGCTTTTGGCTTTTTTGGCTTCAGGATGTCTTTTCTGCTGATTAATAGGGGTTGCGCCATGTGGCAGGGGCGAGGAGGTACCTCACTTTCAGTGTTCAGTGGGCTTGGGACAGTAGCTTCGTGGGACCCCCCAGGAGTCAAGATGGGCAGTTGATTCCCTTGTTGGAGGGCGATCAATGCAGCACATTATTAACGATAGCTCATTACCTGACTTGATTGGATGGGCAGTTAATCCCCTCGTGAGAGGGCAAGCAATGCTGGCCATCATTGACAAACCTACAAATAGGCTCCATTCTGTGTCTATTTTGTAACGGGACTGGTTTCGAGCAGGTGCAGCTCCCCACTAATAGATTGGAGCCAGCTATACCTGGATGCCTACTATTGGAGGATGCTCTTATTGCCTCCAAGAATAGGCCTCTAGCAGATGATTAAAAAAAAAAAAAAAAAGAGGTAGTGCAAGGGGTCTTGGACAGGTTTGGCCTACCTGCCACAAGTTCAGAGTAAGGCAGCATGCTGAAAGAGGTTTCACAGTGTGCAGCAGAGTGATGAATCACCACTAAGCACTCGGAGGGTGTTGGGCAGTTTAGGGTTGGTGCTCATAATTCAACCTTCAGTGTTCAAACCCTAGGGCCTTTTTTATGTTGTTGTTGAAAAAACCTACTGGGGACTACTGTTGTGGGTGGTACGAGCATCCCCCAACAGTACCCTCCGTGTAGGAAGGTCCATCTATTGGTGGGGAGCGGCACCTGCTGAAAACCAGGTCCATGCTGCCTGACTTTACAAGAATAGGCTCGGGGACCAGAGCCATTACCCGGCTTCTGCTTGGCAAACTGCTTGGCAAACTTCAAAAGGACAGCTGGGGAAGTGACTGACTACCCCCGCAGGCACCAGGGAGGTCTTGCTTCCTTTTTTTTTTTTTTTTTTTTCCTTCTTTTTTTTAAAAAGGGCCCAGTGCCCAAGGCTGCAATTATCAAAATTGATTACAACCAGTGCTGGTCCCTGAATGGAGCGGGGAACCTTCGACCAACCAGGACCCTGCCGGTCGGACCGGGCGGTTCACCAGCCCGGCAGGCCCCCGGTTCAATCGGGCGCACTGCGTTTTGGGGGGGTTCCTGGGGATTTTCGGGCGTCCCCGTCCCCGCCCAGCCTCTGGGAGGCTGCCGCCACTACTTTGGAAGAAAACCGGGGCCTACCGGACCCCGTTTTCTTAAGAAAACTGGGGCCTACCGGACCCCGTTTTCTTAAGAAAACTAACGGCCAATATCTGCCGTCGATTGGTGCAGATCGACAGTGGAGATCAGCCGCGCGTTTTCTGAAGAGAACGGGGTATGGTAGGCCCCCGTTTTCGAATTTGAAAACGCGGCCGATCTCGACCGCAGTCTGCGGATCTGCGGCCGAAATGGGCCGCGTTTTCCAATCTCCTCGTGGCCTGCTTTCGGCTGCCTTCGCCCCGCCTGCCCCAGTCCTGTGCAGCATCACGCGACGTTGACGTCGTGCCATTCAGCATGCACGTCGACGTCGTGTGCTGCGACAACATAACCAGCGCCAGCGCCCCGTCTCCAGCCCGCCATCGACATAACCCTGCAGCTGCTTCTCCCCGCCAGCCCGCTTCATTGCAGCCGCCCCCC